TTCGATTTGATTCTGTCAGCTAGCAGAACAAATCAAATCAAATGAAAATGTACTTTATTGTCGAAAATGAAATCTCATTGACAAAGTATTACTATTCTAAGGAATATAATATACACAACTGAAAAGATATTGTCGAAGATAAAATATTATTGTCAAAAGTGTTATTATTTTAAAGAATATAAGTTATACAAATTGAAAGTTATATTTGAACATTTGGTGATTTCAGCATTTTGGGGTGAAAAAGTAGTCAGAAAGTAATAATATATATGCTACATATTGAAATAAATAATAATGATGATGAATATTCTCATGCAACACATAAATGTAAGTATGAGAATATAAAACTATGAAGCATAAAAATATAAAAGTGAATGCATATTTGAGAATGGAGAGATATTAATTGAGTACCCAGGTAGATATCTAGTATGGAGCACTTGAGGGTGATGATGCTAGTTTTTGAGATATCAAATGACAAGAGATTAGCATCACACCAGTCTTTTATTTTTATAATATACATCCAAATCATGTAGTTCCCTTTCATTCCTTCAATGCCAAAATAATGTACTATCAGCGAATTGGGTTATTTCTGCGGTTATATTAATGCGGGCTAGGTCGTTAATATATAACAAGAAGAGAATAAGGCCTAGAACCGATCCTTGTGGAACACACAAGTAACTGTCTGGAGATGGGATATGTTGTCGGGGAGTTTGAGTTCTGACAGGTATGATCTGAACCATTTCAAAGATATATCTCTAAATCCATACACTTCTAGTTTTTGCAGCAGAATTTCATGATTTGAGAAAAATGGCGATGGATGTAAATAGAAGCATGAAATGAGCCTAAAATTCTCAATACATTTCTATCTCTCCCACATTCAATGAATATTTTCAAAAAAATATTATCTACCGTGTGTGTCTGAGTTGATTACCCTAATATGCAATTCAAACAAGGAGTAAAAAATCACAAATTGTTCAAAAGTATAACGAGAAAACCTAAAATTATTGCAAGTTTGAAATTTCCGAAAAGTGAAGGATTTCGATTTGGTTCCGCCGGCTTAACGGTAAAGCTAACATAACTCATTGGTTTTTTGAAAAAACAACATATGGAAAGTCGGAAATGGGGGGGTCATTGAAGACTGATTGAGCCCAAAAGAATATTTTTATCCTTCCCATGGTTCAAGAATGTTCCATGGTTCAAATATTTCTGCTTTTATCGTGCGTGTTTGAGGTAGTCACCCAAACATTTGATCCAAATGTGGGACAATAAGGTGAGGAACGAGCCCAAAATAAGCGTAAAGTTATTGCAAGATGAAAATTCACAAAGAGTGGAGGATTTTCATTTGGATCTGCCAGATCAACGCTAAAGCTAGCAGGACCAACACATTTTCATGAAAAAAACGACACATGGAAATTCGGCGATGGAGAAAAGAGGAACCTAAAATGTGCCTTCGATTCCTTATATACATATTTCTACCTTTACCAATATTTCCGCTTGTAACACGTGTGCTTGAGTTAGACATTCAACAATTTAATACATTCGAGGAGCAAAATGTTGTCCGATAGCGTTTTAAATGAGCCTGGAATTATTGCAGGATGAAAATTGGCAAAAAATTAAGAATTCCTTTTGGTTTTGCCAGGTTAACGGTGAAGCTAGCTGAACCTACTATTTAGAAAAATAAACACACAACTAACAGTATATTTTAATCTCACACTTGGTTCAATGATGTTCTCGAAAAATTATTTGCATTCGTATCGCTTGTATCTGAGGTAATCACCCATATACCTATTTAATTCAAAAGAGGATAAAAAAGTCAATATCATAATGAAGGAGACTAAAACTATGCAAGATCAAAATTTCCAAAAAGTGAAGGATTTCCATTTGGTTCTGCCAAATTAAAGTTGAAGTTAGCAGAGTCTAAAATGAACCTTTTATTATAAAGTAGTCTGATGTTTGTTTTTTTTTCTGTGGCGATATTTTCGTTAACCTTCCAGTGGTGGCGCCTTATCTAGGAGACCGAAGAACAGAAATATCGCCATGGTTACGAATAGGGAGGGGGCTGCTGGCTATCGTTTCTCGTATTTTTATTTTTTGAGGCGACAGACAATCAGTATTCATTTGACTGTGATCGGGTGAAAGTATTGTCTGCTGTGTCTGTTTTCGGTCTCAGAATCCTACGCCACCACTCAGCGAAACCAGTTTTTATTTGTTATTCTTTGATTTCGAGGTAATTTGTTTCATTCTTTTTGTTTTTTATCAATAATAATTGTTGTTTTCTATCAGAGTATATCATGTGCTCCTACGAAAAAGAACAGGCCCGGCTTTTGCAAATGTTGCAAGAGGTAGAAGCCAACGAAGAAGATGTTGTATTCGACCAATCTGATGATGATGAATCGGATCACGAAGAGCAAGATTTGGAGAGCAGTGATACGGAACAAGATATGTTTGATGCGAAAGATATACCAAATTATAATTCCACCAAATATTTATACATATCCAAAGATGAAGTTACTCGTTGGGGTAAATTTCCAAAAATTGTAGAAAGAGGTAGAGCTAAGCAGAGAAACATAATAAAACGACTTCCTGACCCATTACAAATATGGGAGTATTTTATAAATGATGAAATGATAAATATGATAATGCTAGGTATAAATAATCATATAGAGTCAATTGCCGATAATTTCTTTCGCAAAAACTCAGTTGAAATTCGTGCTCTGATAGGTCTTCTATATATGGCTGGAATTTACCATACAAATCATCTGAACACTGAAGATTTGTATAGAACGTATGGATCTGGAATTGAAATTTTCCGTTTGACAATGTCCTTAGAGAGGTTCAGATTCTTACTCCGTTGCATGAGATTTGATCCCAAAGAAACACGTGCGGAGCGAAAGGCCTTAAATAAACTAGCTCCTATTCGTAGTTTCTTCGATGCCTTTACGTCAAACTGCAAGAATGGTTACCATATGTCTGAATTTGTAACAGTGGACGAAATGTTTCCAGCTTTTAGAGGAAGGTGCAGCTTTCGGCAGTACATACCTTCCAAACCCAATAAGTACGGCATGAAAGTATTGGCCTTATGTGATGCTAGAATGTTTTATACGAGTATTTTGGAGGTATATCTTGGTAAAAATGCTATCGACAAGGATTTTAATTCTAGTAGCGCTGTTGTCCTTAGACTCTTGCATCACATTTTGGGAAGTGGGCGCAATCTAACAATGGATAATTGGTTTACATCGCTATCGCTTGTTGAGACATTGGCTCTAGATCATAAAATCACAACCATAGGTACCATTAAAAAAATAGAAAAGTACTACCTTTGGAGTTAACAAAACCTGTTCATCGACCAGTAAGTACTAGCATGTTTGGATTTGGAAAAATTTGCACCCTCGTTTCTTACATTCCAAAAAAGAAAAAAATGTTCTTTTGTTGTCCTCGTTTCACCATGATGATACGATTGATAAAGAAACAGGTGATGCTAATAAACCAGTGATCATTACGGACTATAATAGGACGAAAGGAGAAGTAGATGTGGCAGATAAATTATGTGCCAGTTATGACTGCTCCAGAAACACATGTAGATGGCCTACTGTAATATTTTCACTGGCTCTAAATATAGCAGGTTGAAATTCTCAGGTGTTCTATCATACAAATAATCCCAATGAAAATATTTTGAGAAAAAATTTCGTCAAAGATATAGCCAATGAACTGATTATGCCTCATTTGAAATCTAGATTAGTAGAGATCTATGGAATTCCCTTCGATGAAAATGACGACTTTCAACGAAAAACTGGAAGATGCAATTTTTGTGGAACGAAGAAGAATCGGAAAACTAGATTTTTCTGCTGCAAATGTGGAAAATTCATGTGCCTGGAACACCTCATTGCTATATGTTCAACATGCAATGGAAATCCACTCGAATAATTTGACTTGCAAACTTTTACGAAAGTGACAATATATATTTTTGTGTGTGTTTTGGATCCCTTCCCATTCGGTATGTGAGACCAGCGCAACCACTGGTGCAACAAGCTTTGGCGCCACCACTGGAAGGTTCAACATCAATCACGCCGGTGATAATCAAAATTGAAATTGTTTTCTCAATTTGAATTCAAATTGAATTGTTTCCAATAAAATTGTGAATAAAATTGATATATTGAATACTCGATAACAAATTGTCAGGAGATGATTCACTTTGAGGTCAAGGCGAGCCTTCTATATTATTTATTATGAAAACTATTCAAGAATGTTCCACCAAGAAAATTTTCGGCACAAATAGTTTGAAAAAGAATGATATACAATTATGAATATCGATTTATTATTATCCTACTGGAATATTTTTCAAAGTTATTGATTCCTCTTCAACAGGTTAACCAACTGAATATTCTATTCAAGAAACAAGTAAAAAGTCCAACATTACCTTAAAAGTACTGAATAATATTAATCAGGGAGTGTATATTTTTCTATTTTTCACGAGATGGTATGGACATTACTGCAGAAAATGGTCTCTGAAATGACCTGCCCTCATCCATACACTGAAAAATATTTTACAGGGAAATTATTTAAATTTTGGCGAAAAAGAAAGCAAGAAATGAATCTGAAGTTATGATCCGGTCAAATCTGAAAAAAATTGTTATAGGACGAAAAACAATCACAAATTACACCGATATTACCACATAAATATAACACTTATCCACCATACCATTTTCGTGATTATAATCGAAATTAATAGATGGAAATTTGGTTTATGAATCACGAGAAGGAAAAATACATTATTAGAATCCAATTTGTCTGCTTTTTCAAAACTAGTCATTCTTTTGGAGGATGATCATTACCTATAGCGTTTCAACTTTCAACTTCTATATAAATTAATTGAGCAATTATATAAAAGTCACACAGCAAAAGAAGAATTGAATGATAAAGTCAATGAATAAATATAAAAGAAATGTTTACATATTTTGGACACACCCAGTAGAACCAAAATTGACATTTATTTGGTGTCTCACCTGTTACAACTGAAATCTGAACTTCCTTCTTCCTCAACTTCACCTATTGTGGCCAATTGTGATGATAAACTCCATTTAGAACTATATAAATCAATAGCATTCGTATACGCATCCAAGTTATCAGTTTCGTGGGTGTCATAATCAGGAAAATCTGGTCTATATCTCTCATTTTCCAAAAATAGCTTCATTAATTCAGCGGAACTTTCAGTATTGTCTTTCATTGCATTGCACGATTTTGGCACAAAATCAACGAGCCTTGGTAAATTTTCATTATTTCGTTTTTCATCGCATTTTTCTGAAGACAGAGTAGTGTCCCGTGATCGTGGAGGCACTGGTGGTTTTTTCATGAACATTTTACTGTCTTCTCTCAAAATTGGATTTTCCTTTAAGTCATCGTCTTCAGGGACGATAATTTTTGTATTTTCATTTCCATAGCTCAAAGGTGCATCTTGAAAGCATAAGGGATTGACTTCATCTAAGATTATGTTATTATTTTCTTCTCTAGGAGGTACTGAGGGTTTACTGAAATTTTTAGTTTGAATAAGGTATTCGTCATCGTCGTATATGTTGATGTTAGAGATATCTAGCTTCCTTTGGATGGAGGTAGGTGTTGAGGGTAGGCTGCCAGAAAAACTAGACGTTGTGGTGGCGGGAAAAGAACCAAATCTGTCTATCACCGTTGAAATAGTACTACCTGTATCATCAGACTCACTCAAACTCTGCGTTGATTCTTGCAGAAAGAGATCAACGTATACTTCAGCATCTGGGGGTCCTAAACTACCATCAGAAAATCTTCTATCCCTACGGGACACATCAGGGGAGCTATACGGGCCAACACTATTTCTAGGTGACTGTAGTTTCTTCGATTTATGGGGTTCTGCTTGTCGCGTAGATGCTACACCATTTTCAACGGCATTTTCAGAATGTTCTCTGGGTACACTGGCATTAACATTTTTCATTAACTTTCTAGGAATTTTTCTGGGTGGAACAGGAGGGGGAGGAGGCGGTGTTCTTCTTTCGTCGGCACTAGCGTTTAGAGGTGGAGTTTCTTCTGATGATCTATTTCTTGAAGTTTGGTCATAAATGTGTCGCACTAATAATTTAATAGCTACGTTCGAGTCTTTAAGGCACCTGACACAATCAATTCTCGTCATAGTGTTGACTGGAATGGAATCGATTTCCAAAATTTCATCTCCTTCGGCTAATTTACCCCATGAACTTTTCACACGCGACGCTGGACTATCTGCCGCACATGATTGTATGAATAAACGCTTAACAAACTCACTTGCCTTAGTTCCTCCCTCAAACTTGAGGCCAAATCCTAGCCTCTCCCCTGGCAACCTGTACACTATGACTTCTTCGGTTACATCTTTTAGGACTTTATTATTTTCAGTATCACCAATGGTCAAAACTGTTACATACCCTGGGCTATTCGAATCAAAATTTATGTTCTCTTCATTCAGATCTTGATCGTTGGTTCCCACAGCTACCACTGTCACGAAATTTCCTGATTTCGGAATCGACATATCGCTTTTATTTTCCTCCTGTATCGTGTATCTGAAAGAAAGTGATGATAAAGCATACTTGTTCAACAGTTTTATGGCAATTATTCGTTTTAACGGCTCGCGATTTTTTTTAAAAACAGATACTTTTTTCCGATGTTCACGAATCTGAAGTCAACACTCCGTGTTTTTGTTTACTTTCAGAAATACCATCATTCAAAAGTAGACACTGTGGAAAAAACTTATTTTCATGAACTCATTGATACTGTGGTTGGAAAAACTCGTATAATGACAGCTTCTTTTCACGATCGCAAGTTGTGGACCTTTATTCATCCATTTCAAATGATATTACAGATTGAATAACTAATTCAGCATCATGTTCTAAATAATATCGTAACTCCTCTGCAGTTTTTATTATTCATCACGGAAAGTCGAAGTTAGGGAATGAAAACTATGTTAACATTTCGAAAATTAGTTTCATGCTTCATCCTAAGTGGAACATACGTTATTTGATAGATAGAATTTGGAACATCTGGCGTGACATGTATATTGATAACACTTTTCCCTTGCCATAACAAAATGCTGTCTCACGGCGCGCGTTTCGCTAACAAAGTTAGAATCATCAGGAGAGGACTAAAATTGTTTCTTACAGCTTTGTTAATGTTTTTATATGCATCCAGACGGATCATTACTTTGGATAATGGGGGTCATTAAATCAATTCCTACTATTTTGTTATTGTTAGTTTTGCCATAGAAAACGGCAACACAATGAGTGAGAAATGCTTGAAATTGTAGAGACCGCTGATAGAAAACAAATTGTTAGATACCTTCAAAAGTTCTGGTAAATGTCTGCCAAAAAACAACTACTTCCCATTGGAAGTTGAGGGTGTCACTAATAATATACTTGAACATTTTTATACCCCATTGAAAGTTCCTGGGGAAAAGTATTATCAGATTTCCCATATATCTAACAGTGGAGATACATTCTACAGAGGATAATATTCATTTTTTTGGTTTTTCCCTTATATCTTCAAATCCAAAGAAGTTATTAGTCGATAGTATCCTAAAATTTTGAATCAACCTTTTATTTTGTCCACCACATTGAATGATATATGTTCCAACTCAGATCCAGAAGGCAGTGAATTAAGGTTAAAAGTGTTGAGTTCATCACCAGTCAGTCAAACTTCCTACAAGCCAAAATTACAATGGATGCAAATTTGCAAAAGAATAGATTCGTGTACTTTTTGTAAGTAATGAATTTTACTAAAATACTTTTGAAACAACTAACATCATGTATTCTCACATTGCTTTCTACAAATTTATCACAAATAAACAATTCAAATATCTTCTGAATTATTTTATAGAACCCTTCATGACAATGTACTCAACCTTGGACAATGCACTGGCCGCCCGAATTCAAAACATCGTTGTTCTTTGTCTATAGGACAAGCACAAATAGATGGTTTAAATTTTGTGCTTCAGCTAAGCAGTGCAAAGTGACTTGAAAAAATGGTCTATTTTTTGTATTACTGCAAAATAATCAGAAAGGGTGGTTAAATTTTTTAGCTAGAAGTACAATACAACACCAACTACAAATAAATCTGAAGGACAAAAATAAAGTGATACCCCTCATCTCTAGTTTATTTTTGTAAAAATGCAAATAGAGTAAACGAAAAGGTCGTAGTAAAACAATAATGTAGTTTGCCGGAATATAATACATTTTGAGGAAATGACAGAAATGGAGAAAAAATTGTGTATACTGATTCGTAGCACACGATGGTGACAGAAAGTGTCATTTCATACGTTATTTCCGGAAGTGAGTTTCTGAAATAATTTAATTTTTGATTTTATTTTTATCGTTATTTTTGACTATTGAGAGGAATTATTTCCGAAACTAGACCTGAACGCCAATCATAAAGTTAGCGGAGGAAAATAAATAGGTTTAGTGATTTTTCTTTATAAAAAGTGCGATCCGTTTAAACGAATAACTACCTGATTTACAGACGAATTTAGAATTACAAATGTGGTATTAGTATGCATATCGCTGACATAGTTCCACCAAAATACATATGCAGACATCTCCATAATAAGAGTTATAAAAGCTTCAAGATCATGTAAATATATGCACCTGCAATTATTGAAATATCGTGGCCTCCTTTGATTCCATTCTATCGACAGAATACCTGCATCAGCCTCGCAGTTGAACTACATTTTACTATTGACAAATCACTGTACTCTGTTGAATTTCGTCGATTTTTCACTTCAATGAATAACGAGTTTCACTATTTATAATTTCCAATATTTTTTCATTACCACGGACTCCATAAAATAAAATAATGATATACGATTATTTAAAAGTAAATAAATAATGTATTCAAAGTCAATAAATGTGACAATAAGGGCCGATAATAATCCACCGCTCTCTAAGATAACCACGACCTATGACATAAATATAAAAGGAATTTAGAATGTACGTTTTAACTTGTCAGTTCACACACATTCCAGCGCAATATGCCACTTCAAAATGAACTTGTTACTCGGAAAACACCTTCCGCACAACCCAGCACTTCTTCAATGAATTGATATATTTTCTTGAAAAATTAAATGTAGTTCATCGAGCACGTCGAGGATAAGAGGCCACGATCATTTTAACGGTATATCTGTTACAAAAACGCTCAAATCAACATGACAACCCGAACCGCAGGACATGTTTTCAAATTTCATTTTAAACAATCTGGAATGGGTTAATTCAAGTGTCTTACCTTTAAAATTCCCGGGCACATTTTCCAGGGCATACAGTAATTTTAAACATGGGGCACTCTTCACAGAGATAGTAAACAACTGTTTTCACCTCTCGGAGACCCAGTTGGAGTATATGACCTCGTACACTCTCGCATGTCCTCGCACAGACTAGCATTCATGTCTTGTCTTGTGGTGCGGCCCAATGTTTTTTGACTCGCGAAAAAGCCTGATGGTACTGCTGGAACCGCAGTAATAATAGGAATTTTTTTCTCTCGTGACACACGTTGTCCAACATTCAGAATATTTTGTTGGGGTTGAATTGTCGTTATAGTAGTTTAATTCACGAGTTTGCAAATCGCAAAATTCGATGAACAAAAAAAAGTTATCGTTTTTTTTTTCAAAATTTGCAAAAATATTTCTCAAAGGGCAGACATTTTCTTAAAACAATTTTTTGCCGATTGAAATGGGTGGTTCGACTCAAGAACGCGATTTCAGTTTCAGTCGATTCAACATAAAAATAATTTTAATTCATTGAATATGATTATTAGGTACTTGATGGAAAGTTGAATAAACTATGACCCGCCGGCTTAAGATTTGTGTCGCAGCTCTTCTCTAGATTGTGCTTTATTAAATTAACAATCGTTCCAATAATGAAGTTTCACCTTAAAACCTTGATAATTTGATTTCTTTTCTTCCTTGGAGCAATTTTTTGAAGGCTTTAGAAAATATCGTTGTCGTTGGAATTGAAAAAATTTGCATTTTCCAGTTTTGATGAACAATCAAAATTGTTGAAAATTAAAAATATACCTAAGTGAAGTGCTCGGAAAAATGTCTTTTTAAAAAATTCAATTGGTTCGTTTTATTATAGATAAAAGCTACATACAACCAATGTTGTTTTTTTTTTCATTCATAAAATTGCATTTTTTGTGAGCCAATTGAAAACGTTTTGAGAATCTTATTATTTCTGATTGATTCGGCCGTTACTTGATGAAAATTCATAGTAATTTCATAAAATACATCTTACTAAAAGTTCATTCCTTGCCCTAATATTTATATACACAGGTACTTCTTCGATCATAATTACCTAGAACATTCCATCTTTTATATACCTAAACTACATACATCGATAATACAAATGTCTACGAAGAATAAGGATAAATCGGTTTCTATTAAAACAAGTTCAGTGATGGTGATCTATTTGAATCCAATTGGTTATAGGTAATAATGATTGAAGAAGTAGTTACCTGAGTATGTAGCTCTCAGTTTTGATTACGTTGAGTATATACAGTTTAGAGTGAGGAATTAACTTTCAGTATGTTATTAACTACGAAAAATCTACTGTGATAGCAAAACATATGATATATTTTTCAAATAAAGTTTGCGAAGATCAAATCGTAAAGTGTAGTTTATGAAAATCTATTATGCATGGAGAGAGATTTCAACAAGATATTATGGCAATAGAGAAAAGATACCATAGGAAATTGTCATCAAGAATGGTCGAATTATACAATTATGACAGAGAATCAAAACAATCAGTTAGTCAGCAAATGAGTTTAGTCTTCGAAACCCAGTGATATTTTATTTTTGATACAGAAATATTTAAAAAAATGAATGTTCCAATTTTTCTAACAAACGTATACCAACCAATAACATGAAGGAATGAAAAACCCAGGTGTTAAATTGTGCTGGAAATAAAAAAAATATTTCGTTGTCCAGTATTATTATTTTCAAAAGAGATTACTTCAAATGTGACTTTATGAAAACACTTTGGCTGGACTTCACACACTTTTTATTGAAAAATTTGTATTGATTGAAATTCACCAATAGAGATTATGCAAAATTGAAAACAAACAATGTTATTTTCAATCCATTCAAACAGAGGTAGTCATATGGTGGAAGTCAGTAATTGGAAGTGCAAGTTGATTAGCAAAAAATACTACATCAATTTACAGTATGATATAAATTGAAAAAGGAATATTCTTGGGAGAGATTAGTTTTTTGGAAAAAAAGGTTTTTGGTTTTCTTCATTATCAAAAAAAACTTCAAAAGAAAGAAAGGTAGGAAATACCTACAAAAAAAACTGTTCAGGTACGAATTGTACCTATTTCCACATGAATATTGAATTTCATGAAAGAAAAAAGTCTTCACGAAAATCACTTTTTCCAATTCAGTTTGTACTACAGACATTCTTTATGGAATTGAAACACGAATCATTTTTAGAAACGTACACAACCATTATGAAAGTGTATTGATATGAAATTCCACTTATATGGAACACTATTATTCTCAATGATGTTTAGGAAAAAGAAACTTGTCGTATCATCTCATCACTCTGCTTTTGTCATGATGACAGCACATATAAATATTTATATGATTGGTTGATTCAATCCCACCTATAGAAATTTTAATCAAAATTAAAAAGACATAATTTTAGAAGAGATTAGTTTATGGTAGCAAAAATGTTTTTGGCAATTCATTTAGTGCCTCAGTATTACAAGGTGATATGTAATCTGCAATTTTGAAGATGCGGCCATCTTGAATTTGCATCTTTTCCAAACTGTACTACCATTCTACTAGTCTACTAGTCATTTGATACCCATATTGAGTTATTGTGAAAAAATATGTAATCCGGCATTTTGTATAGCTGCGACCAATTTGGATTTACAATGATACAGAATTTTTTAAATTGTATTGTCTTCAAAACTAAATGTGTGTATCAAAGAGAGATGGTGTTGATAGATCGTGTACATGACAAATATAATAGATATACCTAAGAACCATTTCTTCCACGGTGGTTCCATTTTGGAAGGTCGACCTGATAGTCTGTTAAATAGTTTCAGTTCCATTAAACTACAAACTACAACCAAATGTGCTTATTATTTTAACGCATATATTTATTATTGTAACGTTTGGCTTGAGAATATTCTGAACTGTTTAGTGTGGCTTCACAAAAAATTGTTCATTTGTGATATGTTAATTCAATTTCTAATTCATAAGGATTCGATATACTAATCCAACATTGTTTCAACCCGCCAGGTCTCATCAGTAGTGCTACATTTGCTAATGACAACATTTTGATTTTGGTAACAAATATCTTCTTGATTACGGTGACATAAATAATTCTTTATTGTCAGCAAAACAATCAAACTGAACAACATCTGTCCAATTTTTCAAAATATGAAAATAAATGGAAATGTATTTTTCCATTATACAGTTATCACCCTTCTACTCTGCAGTATTCAGCTTCTGTGTGGAGAACACCACTTCTTATTTGATTCCTCTGAAATATTTACAATCATAAAATTATTATAATAAATTGACGCATAATGAACCAGCTTTGAATCTTTATGAACTACATGATTTCATTGATTTTGAATCCAGATAGTAACTCAAAACTGTGATAAATGTATTATAAGACACGTCGACAATTTTCAATGAAAGCAATAATAAACACTGATTTTCAAGGCCCAGACATGCCAAACAACCAATTGCACTCTCTATAAAAATCAGACTTGGGAAAAACGATTATTTATTATAAAAAAATCACCGAACCTAATGAAAACTATTAAAATTACCAGACAATATATGATAATAATCAGAGAATTTTCACACTAAGTTTTAAGACGCGTTTCGCTGCACAGTAGCTTCATCAGTTATTGGTACGAACAAAGGCTCTCACGGCCAGCATCACGATGGAAATGAACAAATTCCGGGCTTGAAGACCGTGGTCGAATGAAACCTGAAGTACCAGACGTTTCGTCACATAGGCTTTGACTGCAAAGACGAAAGTAATATCTCCATTCTGAATTAAATGTTAAAATATTATCGAAATAGAACACAAGATGGTATTGCAATTAATTTGAAGAGAAAATAAACTACTGAAATGAAATATCCTTTCCCTACAACTATGTTTTGATACATGCCGATTATTGAAAGATAAAATAAAATATTCATAATGTTCCTAATCTTAATAATCTCATGGAGAGAATTTGTGATGTCATAATGGAGCCATCAATATAATTTATTTATCATTCTGTGAGCATAATGGTTTTTTATAGGTTTTCAACTTATCTTCGACATTTGCGTTCATGTGATTTAATATTAAAATATCTGTGAATCAATATTGATAAAAAAATTATATGTTTGAAACAGTTGTCAGACACTTATGAGTTACTATCACTATTGCGTGAATATCTCAGTGAGAGGCAACATAAAGTAAACATCAATAGCAACTGCTCTCAATACCTCACTTTGAAATCTGGAATTTCCCAGTGATCCACACTGGTCCCTTTACTGTTTACGATGTACACCGCGAACATTTTGAAATATTTTCAATGATTTCACATTGTCTAATGTAATTGATGCTTGGACGAAAATAAATATTGATCTGGAATCATTCGTAAAAGCCTACTGACCATTGCTCTTTATTGAATCCGAGTAAATCAAGTATAATTATTTTCACACCAAAAAATGATCGAAGTATTGTACATGACATGAACATCACGATTAATAGTGAAAAACTCGAAATAGTGAATGAAGGAAAAAACCTTGGGATCTTGTTAGATTAAAATTTGAGATTTGGAAAACACATAAACAAACTGATCCAACAA